CTGGCCAGAACCAACTCTTGAGGGAGTCTATTCCAAATTTTCACAGCTCTTACTATGAAGAAACCTTTCTGTGTTTGGACATTAATTTCTTTTCCTCCAGACGTAAAGAGTTCCCCCTTGTCCTCTGTGATGACCTCAGGGTGAATAGCTCTACACCGAGTTTACTATATGACCACTGATGTATTTATACATGTTGACCATATCCCCCCTTAATCTCCTCTTCTCAAGACAGAATAAATTCAGTTCCTCTCATCTTTCCTCATAGCTGATCTCCTCCATGCCTCGTATCAGTTTAGTTGCCCTTCTCTGTACTTTCTCCAGTTCCCCAATGTTCTTTTTCTGAATTGGTGCCCAAAACTGAACTGCATATTCCAGATGAGGTATTACTAATGATTTGTTCAGGGGTAATATGATATCTCTCTCTCTGGAGTCTATAACTCTTTTAATACAAGAGAGGATTTTGCTCACTTTAGAAACTGCAGCTTGGCATTGCATGCCATTATTAAGCTTGATATCTACCAGAACCCCCAGATCCGTCTCCACCATTGATTCCCCCAGTTGTAACCCCCTCCCCCAGTATGTATGATGCATGGATATTCTTAGCCCCCAAGTGCATAACCTTACATTTATCAACATTAAACCTCACTTGCCACATAGTTGCCCAATTAAACAGTGCATTGAGGTCGGCTTGTGAGTTGAAGACATCCTGTAAGGACGTTATTCCACTGCACAGCTTGGTGTCATCTGCAAAGACTGAAATGGGATTTTTAATCTCAGACCCTATATCATTTATAAGTATATATAAAAAAGTAAGGGTCCCAACACTGAACCTTGGGGTACACCATTAACAACTATAGACCATTCAGAGTATGAATCATTAACCACTACTCTCTGAATACGATCTTTTAGCCAGTTTTCTATCCATTTACATACAGATTTTTCCAAGCCTGTAGACTTTATCTTACACATTAGCCATGTGTGGGGAACTGTGTCAAACGCTTTTGCAAAATACAAGTATACCATGTCCACCGCCACCCCTCTGTCCAAGGTTTTGCTCACCTCCTCATAAAAAGAAATCAGATTTGTTTGACAACTTCTGTCTTTCATGAATCCATGTTGTCTGTTGCTTAAAATATTTTTTTCCAACAAGAACTCATCTATGTGGTCTTTTATTAAACTCTCCAGTATCTTCCCAACTATAGCAGTTAAACTAACAGGTCTATAATTACTTGGTAAAGATTTTGACCCCTTTTTAAATATTGGCACCACATTGGCCTTACGCCAATCCAGTGATACTATGCCAGTCATCAAAGAGTCCCTAAAAATTAGAAACAATGGCTTTGAAATGACAGAGCTCAATTCTTTTAGGACCCATGGGTGTATGCCATCCAGTCCAGGTGCTTTATTCACCTTTATTCTGTCTAAATATTTTTGGATCATATCAATTGTGAGCCAATGTGGATCATCTGGATCTGGGTCAATACCATCCCATTATGGACAAGAGCTCCCCCATGCTCCTTTGTATACACAAAGCTGAAGAAGGTATTAAATAAATTTGCCTTCTCTTTGTCCCCAGTCACCCACTCTAGATTATTTTGTAAAGAGCCTACATGTTTGGACTGGACCTTTTTTACTGTTAATATATTGAAGAATTTTTTTGGGGTTGGTCCTGCAATCGTTTTCAATTTTTGCAGCCTTTATTTCCTTTTTGCATATTCTGTTATATTATTTGTAATGTTTAAACGATGATAGTGTTCCTTCATCTTTTATATTTAATAAAAGCTCTTTTCTTATTATCTATAACCTTTTTTACTTTTGCCGTAAGTCACATAGGTTTGATTTTTAGCCTTTTAAACTTGTTGCCCATGGGAATATATTTTGCAGTGTGTTCACATACAGTCTTTTTGAAGAACTCCCATTTCTGTGTTGTGTTCATCAATGCCAACATTCCCTCCCAGTGTAAGTCTTGGAGAGCAGCTCTCAGCCTTGGAAAATTACCTATCTTGAAATTGAGCATTTTTATTTTTCCCGTATGTGCTTACTGTTTACAGCTAACAATAAATAAAATCATGTTATGTTATGGTCACTGCTACCCAGATGTTCTTTTATATGGACATTCGTAATAAGCTCTGCATGGTTTGAGATTACCAGGTCCAGCAGAGCATCATTTCTAGTAGGGGCCTCTATGAACTGTACCATAAAATTGTCCTTTAGTAGGTTTTAACATTTTTGCCCTTTAACTGTTTCTGCAGTACCATTACTCCAGTAGTTAAAATCCCCCATTATTATCACTGTCCCAGCCCTTGCAGCCCTTTTGATCTGTGCAAGGAGCTGAGTCTCCACCTCATTAACACTGAGAGGCCTATAACAAACTCCAATGATTACCTTTGTAGTAAGCACCCTCATGTGCAGTTCCACCCATAATACTTCAGCCTCATCACACTCTCCATCAACTATGTCCTCTTTCACACAAATGATTTGTCTTTCATTTTTATTTTAAACTGAATGGGTTGTTTTACAAGGTGAAAGTTCATATATACTTCAAAGTTTACACAGAAGCAAACAGCAGACAGAGTTGTATTCCAGCCTTGGTAGCACATATGGCTCTCACCATAGTGGCAGTGGAAGAGTGAATGTAGCTACCCAGGGACAAAAAGTGTGTTATTCACAGGATTTCCAAATGTAAATAAAGGGAAAAACCCTGAAAATATAAAACTAATGCAGCCAGAGCATCTAAGGACTAGTAAGTTTCATTATATTAAAAATATTTTGGGGTTTAGATATGCTTTTAAATTATCTTTTTCATTGTGTAATTTTTATTTTTTTGTCACGCAATTACAAACGTTGTGACTGAACCAGTTAGCAATCACAAGCACAGTTATAGTATTATAGTGGAGTATATGAAAAGCCAAAACTTATTTTGTCTTGAATAGAAAATATTCAGAACAACACAAAAAACCACCACACATTACCAAGACAACATCAGCATATGCATACAACAAACAGAAAAAAAAGATAGAATAGGTACAGGAGAAACTCGAAAAATTAGAATATCGTGCAAAAGTTCATTTATTTCAGTAATGCAACTTAAAAGGTGAAACTAATATATGAGATAGACTCATTAAATGTAAAGCAAGATAGTTCAAGCCGTGATTTGTCATAATTGTGATGATTATGGCTTACAGCTCATGAAAACCCAAAATCCACAATCTCAGAAAATTAGAATATTGTGAAAAGGTGTAATATTCTAGGCTCAAAGTGTCCCACTCTAATCAGCTAATTAAGCCATAACACCTGCAAAGGGTTCCTGAGCCTTTAAATGGTCTCTCAGTCTGGTTCAGTAGGAATCACAATCATGGGAAAGACTGCTGACCTGACAGCTGTGCAGAAAATCATTGACACCCTCCATAACGAGGGAAAGCCTCAAAAGGTAATTGCAAAAGAAGTTGGATGTTCTCAAAGTGCTGTATCAAAGCACATTAATAGAAAGTTATGTGGAAGGGAAAAGTGTGCAAGAAAAAGGTGCACAAGCAGCAGGGATGACTGCAGCCTGGAGAGGATTGTCAGGAAAAGGCCATTCAAAAGTGTTGGGGACTTTCACAAGGAGTGGACTGAGGCTGGAGTCGTCTATCAGGAGATTTTGGAGCACTTCATGCTTCCTTCCGCAGACGAGCTTTATGGGGATGCTGACTTAATTTTCCAGCAGGACGTGGCACCTGCCCACACTGCCAAAAGCACCAAAACCTGGTTCAATGACCATGGGATTACTGTGCTTGATTGACCAGCAAACTCGCTTGACCTGAACCCCATAGAGAATCTATGGGGCATTGCCAGAGAAAGATGAGAGGCATGAGACCGAACAATGCAGAAGAGCTGAAGGCCGCTATTGAAGTATCCTGGTCTTCCATAACACCTCAGCAGTGCCACAGGCTGATAGCTTCAATGCCACGCCGCATTGAGGCAGTAATTGCTGCAAAAGGGGCCCAAACCAAGTACTGAGTACATATGCATGCTTATACTTTTCAGAGGTCCAATATTGTTCTAACAATCCTTGTTTTATTGATTGCATGTAATATTCTAATTTTCTGAGATTGTGGATTTGGGGTTTTCATGAGCTGTAAGCCATAATCATCACAATTATGACAAATCACGGCTTGAACTATCTTGCTTTGCATGTAATGAGTCTATCTCATATATTAGTTTCACCTTTTAAGTTGCATTACTAAAATAAATGAACTTTTGCACGATATTCTAATTTTTCGTGTTTCACCTGTATATATACAGACTATGGAGTTGATTTGCTAAAACTGGAGAGTGCAAAATCTGGTGCAGCTGTGCATGGTAGCCAAATCCGCTTCTAACTTCAGCTTGTTCAGTTAAGCTTTGATAAAAATCCTGGAAGCTGATTGGTTTCTATGCAGAGCTGCACCAGATTTTGCACTCTCCAACTTTAGTAAATCAAACTCTATGTGTACCGAATTGTATTGATCATTATGTATGAATAAATACATATATCACAAATTTGGCTATAACAAAGCTCCTCCTTATAAATACCAGGATTCTGTGCAAAAATGTACAAATTGACAAAGTTGTCAAAAAATATTGTGATGAAGTCATGATTTAGCACAATAAATAGTCCTGCCAGGCAGGTTGTATAACTAAATACAAATGTAATGTGGCTGCAGTCACCGATCAACAAAAGTTTTCCAGCATGTCCCTTCAACAGAAGTCGATCAAATGGTCAACTTCTGTTGAGTAAGGCTGGCCACACACTAACTGAAATCTGCGCAGTCACCATATGGTCAGCTTTACAGTGGTTTTTTTTTTTTAACAGAATTTTTTTATACTTCCCTACTGCATACACTTTGACCTAATGTAATGTAGCAAAAATGGGACCCCTGTAGACACCTGTAGCACTGTCATATATTTTCTATGTTTCTGAAAAGAATATTTACCATGACTATAAGGCTTTCGGTTGTTGGTCCTAAGGCTTCCAGGGATTCAGGTTCATCAGTTGGGCGTTTGTAATGAAATGCTGTTCCAGCGACATCAAATTTTCTTGGCCAGTCTATTGTCCAGGCACCATTTATAAAATAGTCATCTGAATCAGATTTGAGAGCTAGGGTGTAATATAAAAATGAATTAGAATCTTAAATGTTTTTGTTACCAACAGAACATGAAATTTCTCTGAGAATTTTGTTTTATGTTTGTGAAATTAAATATGTGAAACTTCTTTTTAAGGCAAGCACATTACAAAGGAGACCAATCTCCACCTCTCCAACCTTGCCTCCTCAAAAAATAGGAATGACATCAGCCTGTTTTTCCGATCTTCCAATATAAACCAGTGCAAAACACAAATGTTAAAATAATAAGTGAATATAAAATTATTATTTTATAAATAATCTTTAAAGTCCAGTGATAAATGTAAGTGACCACAAACCCGTGACATTAAATCAAAAGTCCAGTGATCCCCAAGAAAACTTTCTAAAAAATAAACTTCAGTGCTTCAAATAATTCTTCCACCATCCACCAGTGCCGAAACCAACATAAACCGCACTCACCAGATAATGGTGAGTAAAACACCTTTCAGGATTATTTAGGGCTCCTGGACCCCCTTTTGAGGACTCCTCTATTTTCCACCTCAGATCTATGGGTATTTCTCCACTCGTCTCCTCGCCAAATCACCAAGTTCCAAAAATGGAGAAAAAGACTAATAGTGTAATACTGTTATACCCCTTCTTAGTTAATTCAAGCCAAACCACTCACATTTCATAGGATAAAAACCAGCATTTATTTAAGGACATCAATCGAATTTTCAAACAGCAAAACAAATTTCCACAGCTCCTCGGAACTCACAGCCTTGTATACAGCAGGATGACAGCCTCCATAAAGAACAAACTTCCTCCACTAGTCAAAATGGCCGCCTGGAACGCATCCCTCGGCGTGCGTTCCATTTACCGGAAATGACGCGTTTCGCCCCACCCACAGGGCTTTCTCAAGGTCTTGAGAACGCCCTGTGGGTGGGGCGAAACGTGTTGACGTACTTCCGGTTGGTCTCCCGAACGTCCAACGTCATTTCCGGTGAGTGGAACGCACGCCAAGGGATGCGTTCCAGGCGGCCATTTTGACTAGTGGAGGAAGTTTGTTCTTTATGGAGGCTGTCATCCTGCTGTATACAAGGCTGTGAGTTCCGAGGAGCTGTGGAAATTTGTTTTGCTGTTTGAAAATTCGATTGATGTCCTTAAATAAATGCTGGTTTTTATCCTATGAAATGTGAGTGGTTTGGCTTGAATTAACTAAGAAGGGGTATAACAGTATTACACTATTAGTCTTTTTCTCCATTTTTGGAACTTGGTGATTTGGCGAGGAGACGAGTGGAGAAATACCCATAGATCTGAGGTGGAAAATAGAGGAGTCATCAAAAGGGGGTCCAGGAGCCCTAAATAATCCTGAAAGGTGTTTTACTCACCATTATCTGGTGAGTGCGGTTTATGTTGGTTTCGGCACTGGTGGATGGTGGAAGAATTATTTGAAGCACTGAAGTTTATTTTTTAGAAAGTTTTCTTAGGGATCACTGGACTTTTGATTTAATGTCACGGGTTTGTGGTCACTTACATTTATCACTGGACTTTAAAGATTATTTATAAAATAATAATTTTATATTCACTTATTATTTTAACATTTGTGTTTTGCGCTGGTTTATATTGGAAAATTTGTTTTGGTTTATATACCTATGCACAGCAGAATTTCACTTAAAATTGTTTGTTAGTAGATTGGTCCTGGGCGCTGTGTTGTTTTTTTGATTAAAATTTGTTTTTCCTATCTACCTGGACATTCAGTTGAAACTACATGTATTCTTAGACTTTCGCTCCATTTCCTCAAACTCAACCTCTCCAAAACCGAGCTTCTCGTTTTGCCCCCCCCCCATCCTTTCCATCACTACCAATTACCACCATTCAATAAGCCAATTTGTGACTCAAACCTTTTTTCAACCTCATATCAAATCTCTTCATTATATCCAAGATGGACTAAAACTCGTTTTGTTTCTGCCTTGACTATACTCCCTCCTCACGGCTTTAGTGCATTCAGCTTCAGACCATCCTTTCAGCTTGCCAATCATTCCACCTCACCAGCCGCTCCACCTCTGTGTTCTGCCTCTCCCCATTGATTAAAAAACTGCTTACCTACCTCACCGACCTGATTCCCAGATACCACCCCTACCCGTACCCTTCGCTCTTCACAGACCTCCTTCTATTGTCCAGGAAAACTGTTTCATGTCACCTTCCCTCCTCACCTTCAGGCGCTCCCTCAGGGAAGCCTACCCCCACCCTCACCTAACACCCCTTGTGTTCCATCCCCACAGCCATTTCCTCCTGTACCTCTACCCCCTCCCTCCTAGATTGTAAGCTCGAAAGAGTAGGGCCCTCTTAGTATTATGTTACTGTACTGTTTCATGTATTGTCCCCCCTCTATTGTACAGCGCTGAGCAAACCCTTTGGCGCTATATTAAATAAATAAATAATAGTAGTTACAGTATAAGGAATACCAGGTAAGGTGACAAGCTGTTTCCAGATTCAAACTGAAAATGGCATTCATGTTCCTGTACCACTATCCCCTCCCTCCTAGATTGTAAGCTCCAAGAAGCAGGGCCCTCGAACCCTTGTGTATCGTATTGTATTATTATTGTACTGTCTCATGTATTGTCTCCCATTGTAACGTACAGCGCTGAGCGAACTGTTGGCACTTTATAAATACTGTATAATATAATAATAATAATAATGTTCATAAAGCTGTACCAAATAATTTGATCCTGTCAGTAAAATAAGGGGGATTAGGTAGGTTCTTTAAAAAGGCCATCTTCTTTCAGCATATAAGAAAAATAATTATGTGGTGCTTAGTGGGCAACAACCAGCTCAAAAAACAATACTGTGGCTCTAATAATAATAAGAAACAAAATAATTCAGGCTACAATCTTAACTATGTACATGTTTTTTTTACATTCTAACTGAAGCATACTCTAACAGAACTACAAAAAGCTAGGTAAATAGAAAAGCTACCAGGCTTGAACACAGAAAAGGATCCAAAGGATGCCCCCATTCATCAACCCAGGACGTTTGGCAATTTCAGTTTTTAAGATTGGCAAAAGTGGGCACAAACCTTTGGGACCACTTTTGTGGGATTGCGGACGCCCCCCACCCCTCCCCTCTCAAATGGGCTTGTTTGTAGTGGTAAATGGTGGGTTTATCATGTGTGGGGAAATTTGGTGTTGGCTCCTTTAAATTTTGTTAAGCAGAATTCCTGGGATCCAATGGGGAGTCACGGAAGTTTCTGGAGCATTGGCTGACAGGATATAAGGGGCACCTGGATCATTTGGATCAGTGGCCAACCTGCAAGCAGAAGAGCTTCCCTCCCCCCCCCTCTTTTTTTTTTTTTGTTGCGCGCACTTTGTGTGGTGCTGTCACCCTGGAGTCAGGGGGGGCGTTTTCAGAAGTGCAGATATTTTTATGTGATGGCTCAAGTTCCAATAACTGAGCCAGAAGAAGTTGTTTTATTATATTTTGCAAGTTTGAAATTCATCAATGGTTACTGTAGTTTTGTACATGGTTCATTTTGTGTACCACCAATAAAGTGCTGCGGCCATTTCTCGCCACAATCTGCCTAATGGTTTCTTTCTTAATGGTCGTATTTGGGGAATGTTCTGGTCATGGGGGGGTGCGGTCTGCAATCCCATATGAGAAATACAATTGCATCGTATTTTGAGACCAACCAATTTACAGTGCGAAATGTTCAAAAAGCCCTAAACCTAAACTGGGAGAGGTAGTGGCCAATGCCCCAACTAGTGAATGTATACCGGCTAGTACTGCAATTTCTCCATCTCTTCCCAGTGTACCTTCAGTATGACCTGGTGGAAAAGCCTCACTAGCTTATTGAATAGTTTTTTTTAATTATTTGAATACTAGATGGTATAGATTGAGTATAAAATGCTGGATAAGCTATGTGCCACTCAAGGATGTTTTTTTTTTCTTTTTAACAACTTTAGCACAACAGTCAGTTAAGGATAAACTACATATCTCATGATGTTTCATTCATAGCACTACCGTTCAGTTTTTTTTTAAATTCTAGTAAATTGAGCTTTCAGATCAAAATATTTTGTTCCAACCTGTGACTTTAAACAACGGTCAATTTCATCTATATTATTCATTTATTTCTATCTATCTATCTATCTATCTATCTATCTATCTATCTATCCATCTCTCTCTCCTTAGTGAACACTTACCGATGTAGTTCTTAGACATGGCAACTTCTTTAATTTCAATATGAACTGAACCTCGTGGAATTTGAACGACTTCCATGTAGCCTGAAAGGCAAAGATCACCCTGTTATTATTGGCATCTGGATCTTCCTCAAGAAGATACAATGCAATTACACAATACATTATTCATCACTACACACTGTAAATTCTTCAGATTCCTAAAGTTCACCTGAGTCACTGGCCTCTACTATGTAATGTATGTAACTGGAATGCAGAATGGACATCTACATCAAAAACGCTTGGCATTCACTATACATACAATTTTAAACATGTTATATTAGTAAAATTATCTATACCTCTCACTGAATCCACCTTAACTCTGAGTGGAACATTTTCATATCTTTTTATTTTTATGAATTTTAAGCCAACATCATCACATGTAATCAAAGAGTCATAAGAGTGTTTGAAATCCAATAGTGAATACATAGCAAATATATAATTTGTATCACATTACTAGCTCTAAGAAAGCATGCCGACATTAACCCCCGGTTCACATATCCGCGTTCCTGCAGGCTGCGTAAGGCGTGGGCACAAGAGCCCATTCATTTGAACGGACTCCTGTGCCTCGGGATATGCAGGGAAGAAGTCCTTGCGCTTCTTTGAAAACAGCAGCCCGCACGGGAACTGAGGTTCCCAGTGCGGTTGCGATTTCCAGTGTGGGAGGCGTGCCATTAGAATTAATGGCACCCTCCCGTGGCTCCGCATTCTTCTGTGTGGGTGGTGCGGCTGCACGGATTTTTGTGCGGATCCGCAATGGCACCATCCGCACAGATGTGAACCTAGCCTAAAGGTTAGCCCACTCAAATCTGATTTTAAGTTATGGGTGGATTCTGGGGAGGTGTGGATCGTTAGCTTGCTTCTTCTAGAGGAAGTACAATGGTGAAATTCCCCATCCATTCAGGAGCTTCTAGCTGTGACCATCCTACCATAGAACAGTACAATAAAAAAAAAGGATCCCAGCAAAAAACAAAGCCTAAACTGATTTAATAACAAGTGTTGAAACACTGAAACAGAGTTTTATGTTGTATATATTTGAAAATATATCCCACGCTGCCATGCCATAGCTCCTCTGCAAAGTGTGGTCTCAAACTCCAGTCTAATAGATCTCCAATACAATTGTGCTCAAAGGTTTGCACACCCTAGCAGAAATCGTGAAATGTTGTCATTGAAATTGAAAATACAGTAAGACTGATGCCAAACAACTGTCTTTTATTTAAGGATAGTGATCACCAAGAAAGTTTGCAGCCACAATTGCCAGAAGAATTGTTTGGGATTCAAAGAAAAACCCACAGGTTGTGATTGTTTCAAGGAGCACAATATGACAGTACTTGAACAAAAATGAGCTGCATGGTTGAGTTGCCAGCAAGAAGCCTTCACTGCGCCAATGCCACAAAAAAGCTTGATGTTGTCAGGCATATTGTAACCGGGCTTTTTTGTGGCATTGGCGCAGTGAAGGATTCTTTCTAGCAACTCAACCATGCAGCTCATTTTTTTTTCAAGTATCATTGTATTGTGCTCCTTGAAACAACCACACCATCTTTTTCCAGAGCAGACTGTACCTGTGGGTTTTTCTTTGTATCTTGAACAATTCTTCTGGAAGTTGTGGCTGCAATCTTTCTTGGTCTACCTGACCTTGAATTGGTATCAAGAGAACCCTGAATTTTCCACTTCTGTGGAAGTGATTAAGTGTTTGAACAGTACAACTGGCATATTTAAGGCTTTGGATATCTTTTTATATCCTTTTTCCATCTTTATAGAGTTCCATTATCTTGTTACACAAGTCTTTTCACAGTTCTTTTCTGCTACCCATGGCTCAGCATCTAGCCTGCTCTGTACATCTATTCGAGAGCTAACAAACTAACTGACTATTTATATGCTGACACTAACTTCAATTTAAAAAGCCACAGATGTGGGAAACTAACCTTTAATTACCATTTTAACCTGTGTGTGTCACCTTGTGTGTCTGTACCAAGGCCAAACATTCCAAAGGCTGGAAACTTTTAAACTTTTAATCAGGGCCATTTGGGTGATTTCTGTTATCATTGTGATTTAAAAAGGAGACAAACAACTATATGATAATAAATGGCTTCCTATGATTACTATCCTTAAATGAAATATAGTTTTTTGGCATGATCAGTTTCCAGTGCTTACTTCCTGTGTTATCTCAAAGCCAAATCCTAATTCTTATCTCGGACTATAAATAAAATAATTTCTATGATGTAGACATGATGAGAGTGGGAGTGGCTGAGTAGCTTAGTAAAAGACAGTTGGACGGATGAAACCACTCATAGTCCACAGACATGAGGTGTGCTGTCAGCCCACAACAGGACGTAGAAGCTGAGTGCATCAACGGGTATTTTTCTGTTCTTGCAAGATCTTTAAAACATGATGAAATGTGCATATATTGCAGGGATGTACTATGGATTTTTTAATTTTATTTTGCCCTGGCATACACTCTAAAGCACAGGTGTCAAACTCCAGCTGTTGCCAAACTACAAGTCCCATGAGGCATTTCAAGATTGACAGTTACAAGCATGACTCCCAAAGGCAGAGGCATGATGGGACTTGTAGTTTTGCAACAGCTGGAAGGCCACCAATTTGACACCCCTGATCTAAAGGCTCAGGAGCACACCAGAAGGCTCACTTAGGACCTCCAGTGTATATCTACAAAAATACAATCAAATAAATAAAGATGACAACTACTCAGAACAATGTATACCTAGCAAAAATTGAGGTACACATGGGCACGGGCAGGCACTTCACAGAACAGTTTAATACAAGTACCAGATCAGCACACTTACAAAACAATACAAGAAGTAGCATAGCACACTTAACAGCAAAAAGAAAAGCCTAAAAGGATTTAACAACATCAAAGAGCTGAATGTTCAACCAGCTGGTGCTGGATGGACTGACTCTTTGAGCAAAAACTACAATGTGTACTTACATCTATCTAAAACCTAAAGTTCCATTTCTCTGGTTTACACTGAATCTCTGACCTTTATTGCAAAACCATGCCAAAAATCACATTCTTTCACAGTTGGTGTGTCCAATTATTTATTTGTTTACGGTCCAATTAATTCATCAAAGGGGAGTGACACCATCACTGTGCTTTGTAATTCCTGTGACAGTTAAGTGGTTCTCAGAATTACTGTGGTGATATCATGTTTTGGAAGCACATGATTAAGCTTGCTACCAACTGGAATCATTTCTTTGAACTAGCCTTTTAGACACCTGTACTGATGAGCAACAATGATCTGCTGCACTCCGTTTCTGAATTTTACAACTTTCTGCAAAGAAGAATTTCCTGAAAGAAGATACCAGGACTACATTAACATCCACCTCCACAGACTCATTTTCTCTGTGTGCTGTAAAACACCCTATATTTATCTTCAGAATTATTACACACATGCTCACTGAAGCTCATAATAATGTACAGAGTAATATGGATAAATCCTGGATTAATGACCTCTTTTGGGAATCCAGCTTTTAACATATTTATCTATTTTAAATATCACTCCAACTTAAAGATTTTAGAAACATTTTATATTTGACACTAACGAGCAACGGAGTACAAATAACAGCAAAGAACCAATATGTTATGGTGCGCTCCCTAATAAATGTCAGCTTGTTATGAAGATATGTTGGTGACTCAATACTATATTCCTCCAGGGCCTTTAAATAACACCAAGACGAGTTACATATGTCTGACAGCCTTTGACAGTTACTCTGTCCTGCTGGTGCGTGTATGAGTTCAATGGAAAAGGCTCCATAACATTGATGGCTACTGGTCATAAACTGCGTGTTTATGACTTACATTTATACATAAGATAATGAAGAGATAGAATATAAATATTCCAGATGTTAACCTAGTTACTCCAGGACTAAAGATAATCGGTTACATAAAAAACAGACTAGTAACTACGCAATGGGGTGATTTGCTAAAAATGGAGAGTGCAAAATCTGGTGCAGCTGTGCATGGTAACCAATCAGCTTCTAATTCCTGTTTGTTAGGCTTTGACAATAAAACCTGGAAGCTGATTGGTTTCTATGCAGAGCTGCACCAGATTTTGCACTCTCCAGTTTCAGTAAATCAACCCCATTGCTTAGTCGACTATGCACTCTGTTGTAGTGTGCTGTCCACTATTAGGCCTGGGTTCACACTTGTGCGATGCAGCATACCGCGTGTGATTCACAAAGAACCGCACACATTCCTGTGCATATCACATGCAAATTCTGTGCAGTGCGATTTGAGCCATACATTTTGTATGGCTCAAATCACACCGCCTTCGCACCGAAAAGGTGCAGGACCCTTTTTTTGGTCCACACTAGAATCGGATCATATGGGTATTCACACCTATGCGATCCGATTCTGCACATCGCACCCTGTTTTGCGGACTGATTTCAGGGTGTTCTTAACCTAACATACACACCCACAGAGGTTTGCATGAACGGGATGCGATTGTGATGCGGTGCGGAATTCGCACAGAAACCGCTGTGAATTCCGCACTGCATCAGTGTGAACCCAGGCTAAAGAAGGGGACATGAAAAATATCCCACACTAGTACAAGTACAGCCATGTTTTCATTGAGTGGGTCTCAGTTTTTCCATGTCCTTCTTAAAGACATGAATAAAAAATACACTGCACTCAAGTATACAGCTCACTAAGAATGCTCTCTTTAGTGATGCTTATGTCCAATCGTGTAAAATCCCAACTAATAGGACAATATGTTCAAACATTTACATTTCCTGGTCATCTTTGAAGATATACAACTGTGATGAAGTTTTTCATAATGCCACTACAGACAAACGGACAACTGCTAGTTTAGAGTACACATGTAGGCTACAGCTGGCCATACATGATCAACATTGTTGCACAATACAAATGGGTTTAAGGCATAAGATCTTTTTTTCCAGTTTTCTGGAACATGTAAAAGTGTGTCTGAACATAAGCAGATTGTCAGGATTCATCAGGAAGGTAAAGTTTGTACAGACTTCTATTTTTTTACTGCTAAAGCCCTTAGGCCCAATTGGCCAAAGTGAATTAAACAGTGGATGTGCATGTCCAGTTCAGAAAAGGCAGTCTGATAGTTCATGCCTAAATAGTAAGATTCTTTGCTATATGGCTAGCCTAACAAGTACAATTTACAGCCAGTGTGCACAGCTACTGTATAGATTATTCAGATATCTGAGTTCTAATCAGCCCACCAGTCTTGTAATACGCTCTAGTGCAGTTATTTTTTGTGTATAGCTAGTGGCTTGCTAGAAGCCTGGGTGAGAGTCAGCCTGGGAGTGAGTCAGCAAGGTTACTTCAAATTAGGGTAGGAGGGCTCTACAGGTCAATCCTCTTCTACCTCCCCCTGTTCTAAAGATTTGGAAATGTTTCTAGAAGCTAGTGGGCAGAGGTGAGGATGATCTCCATATTTATGGGAATCTGAGCAATCCTAGGCAGGAGGCCTGGTAGTGTGGGAGTTCAGCCCATAAATATGAGAGAACCTGGCCAGCAGGGGAGTTGGGTGAAAGATAGAGTGAGGAAGTGCTGCTGGTGTGGAGCTTGGGAGGGGGCCCCAGAGGACCGGGGTCTACCTACATGCTGGGAGCTGGAAATAACTCCACTGTTCTACAGTCTAAAGAAAAGGACATTGTGTCAGCAGGGGAAGAAGCCAGTCCAGCGTAAGACCTGAAAGCACGCTTCACCTTTTAAAACTACAGAGACAGGACAGTACCTCTACACCCGCTGGGTCTACAAAGGAGAGGGCAGTCAGGTGCAATACCCAACTAGTTCTCCCTGGGACAGCATTCATAGCATTCTCATGTCTCAGAATCCCTTGCCCTGGGATACTCTTCATGACAGCCAGGTGGATGAGGAGATTTTCATGTGGAGCCTGAAGAAGATTCATTTAAAGGGGACTAAGTGCTCCTAGAAAAGACTGTACTGATCTGCTTTTTTGCACATACGAAGTTTGTCCTTTAAATTGTTTCAGTTCCATTGGGCATCCCATATACCCCTAGACCCCATCCAAGTTGTTTAACCCCAAATAAAACAACAAAACCAAGCTCATGGACTGTTTACTGACTTGGGATGCAAGAGTGGAAAATTTGTGTTGCCTGGCTGTGCCGGAAAATAGGGGGACACAAAAGCAGCGGCTCTCAAGGGGGTAGCGCTATATCTGTAAAGAAAGCATGAACTAAGACACCCACAGATCATCCTGGGAGATGTTCCTATAATTTTCCTGACATTAGGGACTGCAATCTCATATTTCATCTGCAAAGCATCCCATGGAAGTCCCTTAGTTGTACCGTTGGAGGTGCTAGAGCATGGACTCTGTCTTCTCTCAAGAAAACCCAAAAGCTTTTTCTAGAAAAAAAAAAAATGCTGATTCCAGTTGTGCAGCTCCGTTCATTAAATATTATTTTCTAGAAGAGAACAACAAACTATACATTTTTATTATGAGTGCTCCCTTAAAAAACCCTAAGGCTAGGTTCACACCTATGCAGGTTGCGTTTGAGCTGTTTCTGAATTGCGTTTTGCATTGCGTTTTTTGCACCTGCGTTTTTGCTGCATTTTTTATACGTTTTGCATTTTTTCCCTTCTTTTTCAATTTTTCTTGTTGCTAGGCAGATTTAAAATGCATCAAAAATGCAATACATGCTTTTCTGCAGCGTTTCCATTGAAATATATAGAGCCAAAAATGCAACTTTTTGCGTTCAAAAAAGTCCCTGAGCCTTTCCAAAAACGCACCAGGCAAAAATGTGGATATGTGAACATGTTCTGCAAAATTCTGTGGAAAAGTGGTTGTAAACCCTTAGGCCCCTTTCACTTGAGTGGACCGATCAGGTCCACCTGTCCATTTTTCAAACAAACCCGATCAGATGCTCAATTGCTCTCTCTGCATCCAATCCAAACCTGTCCACTAAAAACAGACAGATGGGGATCCATTCCTCATCCATATGACGAATCAGATGACAGTCGGATGGAAACTGACAGGTGGTCTGTTTCCATTCGACAACCCATAGAGGACAGCAGGCTGTGTCTGTGTCTGCTCTGCATAAGCGGAGCAGACATGGACTTATCATCAGCTAGCTCAGGGGGAATTAGCGGGCAAATCTCCCACTGAGTAAGAGGATCCGCTGACGAGTCCGTCCTGTGTGAAAGGGGCCTTACATATGCCCAATGAAGTGACTGGCCTCAGGTAATACACAGAGGTGAAACAAATGCTCCTACATAAGTTGGTGCAACTATGTCTATATGCAGTAGTAAAGTGATATAACTCACAACACTCTATATATAAATAAAATGCAAGGAGTGCTCCAACAAAAGTGTTCACAAAAAGTGTAATCTGAGGTCCTAAAGAAACCTCAGAAACGTGCAATAATAAACTCTAAAAATGTGTATTACATCATATAATAATATTGAAAGCAAATCCCCCCCACTCAGTGTGATCATGTTAATGTGATCAATATAAATTATAGATAATCAATGCAAAAAAATATTCCAAAAGTCCATAAATAATCCAAATGGTGCTACAAAAAGCAATAACTCATGCAGAGTGATACTAGTGACGATATCTGTGAAGGTGTCAGCACACTTATCCTCTGTGGCTAAAATGCCCCCTCACTTCTACTCAGCGACCCAAAGGGCCACTATGCCTCCAGGATCACTCCTAGATCCTTCTCCAATGCTGGCTGGTATCCTCAGTACTTCACCTGTAGTCCCCCTCTCAGGTTAGAAATAAGAACTCCAGGCCTTTCAGGATAGATACACCAGCTAGATTTACCCCTCACCATGGACCATGGGGAGAAAGAAAAAGATCCTCCATAGTGTAGTATTTAGGGTAAGTAAAATTCTTTTTATTAAATGATAAAATGCCCACTCACTTGGTTAAAATCTGGTACATTCACATAGTTATGCTGATGAAGTCACGTGGTTGAGTGACGCAACGCGTAGATACGCGGTGACGCAGCTTCCGGTACGCGGTGACGCACATCCAGTGCGGGCGCCAGCTTTGCACATCCAGATGAATCCTAACCCATGCAGTACACCCAGGCATGAGGTTTTGTCTATGTGAATGTACCAGATTTTAACCAAGTGAGTGGGCATTTTATAATTTAATAAAAAGAATTTTACTTACCCTAAATACTGTCTCTACCCCCCCCCCCCCTGCCCACCCAAACAGGAGTCCACCAGTGGTACCCCAAAAAAACTGTAATCTAAACAATATCTCTGCTTTCAAAAAGTAGAGTATTAATGACAAACCAAGAAAGAATATACCATTAGTATTACAATTCCAAATGGGTTCCTATATCCTCTTTGCTAAAATGTTGTAAATTCTAAAACATTTTAAACCTCAGATGTGTGGTTTGTCAACAGTTCCATAGCTTTGAGCCATAGATTTTCATCTTACCTCCTCTGGGAAGTGAATCATTGAAGAATCCCTCTATGGCTTCACAAGTGCTTCCGTCTCCCCCACATACTCGGCACCTGTCTTCTTTGGCATCTGAGCCCAAAATGTTATCACAACCTACATGCTAACCGAAAGAGATGAACAAAAGTCCATTGTTAATGTAGGACACCTAGCAAGATGACTGCCCTCAATTACTATTACATTAGAAAAGTTCAACGTCTTTAACACACAGTTCATAATCCTTGCAAATCTTCCATTGTTAACACAGCAGTGATATGCTTTAAAATAAACACTTTCACATGAAATAAATCTGTGTGTTTGATTTCTCTTGAGCTTAAAGCGGAGGTCCACTCACTCTGTAAAAAATAAAAGTCAGCAGCTACAAAAACTGTAGTTGCTGACTTTTAAAAAAACAGCCACTCAGCTGTCCCACGATCCTGCGGTGCCCCCGCAACAGCCACCGGCCATCCTGTATTTCAGGCGCCGGCATCTTCAGTGTGGGCACCCGGCTTCACAGCCGGGTGCCCACTGCGCATGCTCGAGTAGCACTGCGCTTCCTGAATGGCCCCATCGTCTTCTGGGACCTGTCATGTGTCCTACAAGACTTCAGGGAAGGAGGGAGGGTAGGAGGATAACTTCTGTTTCCGATTGCCTAGGCGATCTCAGTGGAGGTGGGAATGGATACCTGTCAAATTTTCAAATTTGGGTACCCCCCCCCCCCCCCCCCGCTCTCCAAAGGTGCCAATCCTTATTGGGGAGCGGGGACCAATCTTTAGAGTAGTTAGAACTTCCCCTTTTAGGTGGATCTCTGCTTTAAGTCAAAATTTGTCAGCCATTGCATTGTCAGCCACAGCATTGAGGACTGCATATAGGGCCTTCCATTATGAGGTGCACCCATAAGATGTTACTTTTTAAATCACCTTTAAAAAGGTCAATTTAATCAACTATTTTAGTTTTGTTTTGAAGGGTCAGAACACCCTTCAAAATGTGATTAATTAGTGTTAGTGGACTTTGATGAGTTTTATCACCAGTGTGCTTGTTACAAGTCTCAGCAACCTCAACAGGCAGATCTCTCCAACAACATCTTGGACTTACTCACAGTAACCATGACAGATGATGCTCAATTTTATGCCAAGCATTGTATCACCCAAGCCCTGCCAGATTCTCTTTAGAAATACAGTCCATGTCAGATCAGCAAGTCTATCACCAGCATCTGTCTGCCAAAAGCAGAATCTCTGGGAATGAACATACATCATACTATGAAGATGGTGTCTTGCTGCCTGAACCGGCAATATATCACTCGCTCTTTCCCTCTCTACTCCTTTGCTAGGGTCTGAGTTTAGCAGTGTTTTTAAAAGCAGCAGAGGCCCTGCTCCTAGTGGTAATGGAAGATGAATTTCAGTCATTCTGCCAATGTTATCACTGACAGAATTACCTTTCAGTCATGGCCCTTTATGGAGAATCTGGAACCTGGTCAAGACCCACTACTGGTCAAGCTAGTTCTTTCAAAACCATAGAAGTCATCAGGCACAGAACTGCAGTTGTAATCAAACCCAGTAGAGCCCATAAACAACTTATAGCCATGACCATAAGATGCACTGCCTGCAAATACCACCACTGATGCCATGATCTCAGAGTAACCATAGCTATCAGCCAAAATCCCAAAATTTGCTATTTCCAATTCATTACAGCTTTACTTGGTGATAGTGACCATCAATCATTCTAAGTCTACCTTAACCACTTGTTCTCCAAAGGATTTACCCCCTTCCTGACCAGGCCATTTTTTGCGATATGGCGCTGCGTTATTTTAACTAACAATTGCGCGGTCATGCGCAAGAAAGATAAAGAGAAGAAAGGATCAAAATGCCATTTTTTACACAGTGCAGAGGATTACCCCTTGGGTTCCACAGTGAGTATAACAAGCATGCTTTACTGCATATAGCTGAATGTTGTGGGAAAACAAATGATAAACTGCTCCTCCATAGATATAGTGCAGTGAATGTCACCTAAGACAGGAAGAGTGTTTTGGGAAACATCAGGTTGGGGAAAAAAAATGAACGTAATTGGTAATCTACTTTGGGTAATCCTTTTGGTAATACTTGCTGTTGAAGACATAACTCTCATAGCTTGTGGCATAACACTGCAAATGTACACACAAGCTATGAGATCTATGTCTTCAAAAGCAACTGTTACCAAAAAGATTACCTAAGGTAGATTACTAATTGCATTGCGCCGCTCTTACTACAGAGGAATTGGAAGAAACTTAGAAACTCCCTACCTGTTTTGGACTTTCCTTTATACTAATACAGTAGTTACCCCTAATTCTTACAGGTCCTGAGTTTTCTTGAGACAAAGATTAACAATTATAGATTTACCTGCAGCACCGAATACTACAGAAATAACTGTAAAATAATGGATTTATTATTGTTTTAGTTACATGTAGAATTTAAAAAGTTTGGAAATCCATTTAACATGAAAGATTACCATTATTTTTTATTTTAAATAGTGTGGGAAAAGGTGAGCTCTGACATATTTTTCTTGATGCCTATGTCTCTGTTGGGGAGATTTTCCTTCCCATCCTTTCCCAATGACACGACAGGAAGTAAGCAAACTTCACCAATAAGGACAAATATCAACACAGATTTTAACCCGTCCCCACTTTTCTAGTATTGCTGTCTGAGAAAGTCTAATTCTGACTTAGTGACACACAGAAAGTAAAAAGCATTCTCTGCCGACAAGTTTAAATACAATCCTCACATAAGATCTAAAGCAAAACTATAGGCAAACCTTTTTTTTCATTTTGGATACAGTAAGGGAGGGTTATAGCCTCTGTCAGTTTTTTTTTTTGTCATCTGTGTTCCAATGTGGAGATTTCTCTTCACTTCCTGTCCCTTAGCCAAACAGGAAGTGAAAGAAAATCCCTGCAAATTAAGGGAATTCCTTGGGGACATCAAGGTCACCAGAACTGGTGTCTCCATTGGAATATTTCCCCTCTATTACATTTCTAGACACAACCCAACATGTTGGATTTTCCTTTACCTTCACTTTCAATGAAAACAAGAGAAACAGAGAGGATGAATCTCCTTAATGGGGGTACAGACAACAATAAAAACTGACATGGGTTCTATTCCATCTCCACTTTATCCAAAACTAACAAAAACGTTTTGCCTTTAGTTATATATTAATGTGATCTAAAGTCACAATTGCTTAGTTTTTCATAGAGTAGTGATAGGTTAGAACCTGTCAGGATTTAATGCTGCCTGTGTACCCACTAGGTGAATTCACTCTCTCTACTTGCTCTGGTGACCATTTTTACCAGGATTGAACATGATTAAAAATCCAACATTGGACACTAGTTCCAGCATTGGCTGTTTAAGAGGGGATTTTCCTATCTTTGGAGATGTTACTTTTCTTCTACTTCCTGTTGCGTGTACAGAACAGGAAGTGAAGAAAAAAAAAAACAACATGAGTTTTAAACATTCCCTACTAAAAATGAAGGAACTAGATTTTGGAATCATATATTATTTAACTTTATTCATGTCTATCCAAACTGGAAAATACATGTTGCTTGGTGTTCTACTATAGCTAAATACAGTTGTGCTCAAAAGTTTGCAGACTCTAGCAGAAATCTTGAAATGTTGGCATTGCTATTGAAAATATGACTGATCATGCCAAAAACTGTTAATTTAGGGATAGTGATCATATGAAGCTATTTGCTATCACATAGTTGTTTGGCTCCTTTTTAAATCATAACAGAAATCACCCAAATGGCCCTGATCAAAAGCTTACATACCCTGGAATGTTTGGCCATGGTACAGACACACAAGGTGAAACACAGGTTAAAATGGCAATTACAGGTTAACTGCAATTAGTGTCTGCGTATAAGTAGTCAATGAATTTGTTATCTCTCATGCGAATGCACTGAGCAGGCTAGTTACTGAGCCATCGGGAGCAGAAAAGAACTGTCAAAAGACTTGCGTAACAAGGTAATTGAACTTTATAAAGATGAAAAATGGTATAAAAATATATAAAAAGCCTTGAATTTGCCAGTCAGTACTGTTCAATTGCTTATTAAGAAGTGGAAAATTAGGGGATCTCTTGAGAAAAAGCCAAAGTCAGGTAGAGCAAGAAGGATTGCAGCTACAACTGCCAGAAGAATTGTTCAGGATACAAAGAAAACCCACAGGTAACCTCAGGAGAAATACAGGCTGCTCTGGAAAATAAATGGCTTCATATGATCACTACCCTTAAATAAAAAAACAGTGTTCTGTGCATCCCTGAGCACATAGTCCCTTTCACAACAATTAGGATGCAGCGGCTGCAGTCCAGCGACTACTGCCAACATGACAGCTGTGTGCACCTGCATGGATGTCAGATTGGAAGCAGAAGCTTTGACCTTGCAGCTCCTGTGTCCCAATTGACATGAATAGGACTGCATGCAAGGGGGTGCACAGAACAAGTGTGCACCCCTTTATGAGCAAACACAGCCCTTTGCACGGGTGTACGCGTAAGTACGCAAGTACAAGTGTTTCTATTGAAAGTGTGATCCAAATCAAGACTTATTATCCCTAGAAAAACAAAAATGGAAGAGAACTGTTATCAGACAAATGTTCAGATGACCAAGTGTTTTTTAAATTGTAAAGCCATTAACCTTGCATTCTCCATTGATACAGATATCCAGGGAATCGGAATTGCAGCGCGTTCCATCTATAACAGCAGGGGCCCCGCTCAGTGTAAAAGTTATAGCCTTCAGCCAAGCAGTTTAATGCACACGATTTAACACCACCTGTGATTGCAGAATGGACACAGATATTAATGTTTTATATGTGGCCTGCAACATTTCAAACCACAGAACAGCCATGGCAGAAAAAAACGTGCTACATTTAATATACTTAAGCCAAAGATATAATAATTTTTCTTCAACTTAAACAAGTTGCAAAGTCAAGTTTAAATATGACGAGCAATACAGTCTGCTTTTACACACACATTTAAACAAATTGCTGTCAATAAAATATAACTCAGCAATTTCCTTAAAACTTCCGTTCAGAGAGCTGGAGTCACAAGTACTAACTCATAAGAGTAATCCTATGAATTAGAAAAAGGAAAACATTGCCAAAGTCAAGCTCTGGGCTTATTTATAGGCAGTCAGTCATAGGGGAATAATAGAGGCTGCCATTGCTGACTATTCCTTATGAGAATGCTAGTTTCCTGGCTGTTCATGTCGATGCTTTGGCTTTAATTCAAAATGAAGTGATGATCTGGAATGAGCATAAAATTCATTCTGACACAATGCTGACCCTTGTTTACATTATGCTTGTTCTTGGGCTAAACTTTAAAGTACTTAAATCAGTCACAACCAGGCAACTAGCATTTTCAGGTGGCCATCAATGGCAACATCTTCACTCCTAGAAAAATCACTTGAAAACAAAACAAAAAAGGGTGTTGTACAGAAATTCGTAGCAATTGGTCAGAAATTTGATTTCATTTCAAAGTGTTTTCAAGAATTCTCACTCTATTTCTATATGCCTCAGGACCATCTGACTCTAATTATGCATTCCATAGACCTTGGAAAAGAACATTTTCCCACCCCAATCAACCCCTGCTTGAATGGAAGGTATTGCATCAAAATGTCCCTGGAAAGAGGTGAAGCATGGTGAAGTCCCACAATATGAAAGCCGTGTTTAGGCTGGCACCTGAAATTTTTCGTTAAACTCAAAATAAGAAAGATAGAGTAGATTTTCTGGCTTTAGCAAAGCTGTGAAGCTTCCTGGTGACCATACGCAAGTTGTCACAAGAACAAAGGTGAAAAGAACTTTTCCAATAGGTACAACCAGCCTTTTTCAAAGTTTTTGTCCCACAGGAACCCTTGAAATAATGTTCAGGTCTCAAGGAAACCCGTTCTAAAACCATTTAATTGGAAGTCACTGGAAAAAATTACTCTTACATTGGTAACCAGTGAGAATACTGCCCCCCTTAAGGTGGTGGTAAGAAGCCACCCTTACAGATATCTAAAAAGATCACTTATGTCATACAGTTGGCTGTGCCAAATGGTGTTGACCCAAGAACTATGCAGACAAATCGGAGGTCAAATAGCCATAGCTCAAGAAACCCCTAATGACCTATGGAGGAACCACTGGGCAGCACAGTGGCTAAATGATTAGCACTTCCGCCTGACAGCACTAAGGTTTTTGGTTTGAATTCCAACCATGGCTCCATCTGCTTAGAGTTTGCATGTTCTTCTTGTGCATGCATGAGTTTCCTCCCACACTCCAAAGACATGCTGGTAGGTTAATTGGCTCCTGTCTAAATTGGCCCTAATATGTGTATGTAAGAATGTGAGTTAGGGACCTTAGATTGTACACTCCTTGAGGGTTAGGGACTAATGTGAATGTACAATATAAATGTAAATTGATGGCCCTATATAAGTACCTGTAATAAAAAAATAAAAACCCTGGTTTAAAATGGCTAGGTATACCTGTCTCAGTGACAACTGCCTAAGAGGGTTTTAGACAGATTTACGCTTTCAATGGTGTATTTGAAGCATGAAGTGAAGTGAAACTTCCCTAGATCCCCATATAGCAAAGAAAGAAAGGGGAAAAAACAGAGGTCTTAACCATTTCCTATTCTATCCAACACAAAAAAAGGTTTGGAATTTATATAGACTTTTAGAAAATTGGATCATATTCAGTTTAAAAGCTACCTGACCCCTGTTTCCATAAAATAACTACTAATTGTAAGTCACTGCTTGAAAGTTCTTCCTTATTTACAAACTTCTGACCCACTTGTGACCTAATCTGTTCTTTTGTGGCCATCTGTTTCACCTCATGTCACCTTAATGTACATTACAGCAGACACTGCAAGTCAATCAGTGCATTTTGTAAAGAGAACACGCATGACCTCAGCCCACTAGACAAAGAATGTCACTTATGTAAACGTTATGGCTATAGAATTAATGCTGAAAAATCCCAGCCATCTACTCCGAGGTGCAGCCGTGACAGAACCCGGCAAAGTATTAGGAATGCAGTTTCCTCTTCTGAAGCTCATATTGCAAATGCTATTTCACCTGTTCAACAGGAGCGGATTTACAGCTTTTGGGTGAAGGAAAGAAAAAAGGTTATTAGGACTGCAGGATGGGATACAAATAAGTCTTCAAATAAACTTAACTTGAATTCTTTCAAAACTATCAACTATAAAGTACAGTATATAAAATGGCAAACACTTTTTTTTTTTTTTGTTTTGTCTTTTTTTAGATACAGTAGGGAATAAGTAAACCCTGGGACTTTTTTTGTCATCTATGACCCATTGGGGAGATTTCTTTTAAATCTCTTCAAAGTGAGGGAAAATTACTCTTAAGCTGCCAATTCAGTAGAATGTTTGAATGTGAAATTTTGAAAAATTGTCTGTCAGTCAACCCATTTTGTTTGAAACCCCTAAAATTTCATCCAGATCTACTACTTAAATGTAATCCCAGACGTATTAAACAGGTTTACTTTGTGCCTTGGATGATTTTACACAAATGAAAACCACATTCACATTTAGAATTTATTGCGTTCAAAAAAAATTTTCCATACTGCTCCTTCAAATTTGATTACACTAAGGTTGACAATAATAGTCCCTTTGCCCGTAGTAACTGTTAGAAAATTGAACTAACAAAACTGGTTCATGGCCTGCTTTAGACAGTTGCCACTGGAACAAGAATCCCCATTGGAAGATAAATAGTCTTTAATCCTGTTCAAATGACAATTCAAAACTTTGGATTGTCCCTCAATTCCAGTACTGATGACTATGGTCATCAGGATAAACAGAGAGGGTGAAACTCTCCAATGGGGGACAGGTGAGACAATAAAAACCCGAAAGGGTTTTTACCCTTCCTTACTTTATATAAAACTGCAAAAATAAGTTTGACCTTTTGAAAGACTTTTTTTTTGTAAGATATAAACTGTTTGCTACCCAGATGGATAAGTTCAACACTGTAGTAAAGAGGAATCATGTAGTGCAATTTTCTTCTCAATTACAACATATTAATTTGTGTTCACAGCTCTGAAATATAATAAGATTAGGATGTTCTTCATTGTGCTGTATAATCATTCAGCTTGTTACAGGCATGTCCTGGGAACTGAAGGATTGGAAACAGGTAGCTCTTTTTCTGGACGTCATAGTTCCTTCAACGGGGATACAAGTAATACTGGTCAGAAGGGTTGCTCAACTCCTTAACATATATACAGTATGTAGTAAACCTGTTTTTTTTTTTTTTTTTTAAATCAAAGATAACGTTTCACTTTTAGCAATCAACAAAACCTAAAGGGCTTGTTGATAGCCAAGCATTTAAAAAATAAAGATAAATTTTCACCTACCATCTGCCACAGTGCACATATTATTTGTGAAAAAAACTAGGGTACATTGTACATGACTATAAGATAATGATCAGAACCTTGGAAGAGCCCCCTTTTATCAGACATGCACTTGCTGGATATCTCTCCCATACTCATTTACAAAGTAGTCCAGGATCCCAAAAACCTGGATCTCTGTATTAGGCCAACAGGGATCAAAGCTTCCCTGGGCATGCTGTAGTCCACCATTTCATGTTCCTGTAGCTTCCTAATTGGGCCTTTAGGTCACCTATTCAACTTCATGGCAAAAGGGAGGAAAGGGGAACAGGCAGCCTGCTCAACATTTCTGTTCACTTTCAGCATAGTAAAGAAGAGTCTATGACCATGTTCCTGGCCAAGTAAGTAGTTTATGCAGGAAACCTGGAAATAGCTACGCTGCATCTTTCAAGTTCAGATTTTGAGTCTTTTACTGAATGCAGAAGCAGGGACATAGGAATTCAGCAGTTGTGGCAAGGCCAGGATGAGCATTACACAAAGTTAGTAGGTGATCTGTATACCCTGAGTGATCTTAGATGCAATGTTATATTTATTAAGAGTGTATCTTTACTCAGTAAATGTTTGTTTCAGCGGCCTGGCCAATCATATGAATGACTTCAGTGGCTGTTATAACATGTTGAACCCTGAAGCAGCAGCCAACGATTAAACTAAATTGGAAATCCTCTTTAATAGCAGTTTCTTGATGTTGCATGATATTTGAAAATAAGTGACATATTCTAAATGATTTCCTGTTTTGTCCCATTTTAGCATTATATGTGCTCTCAATTCATGGTAAACTAAAAACATCCTTCAAATGATTAAATAAATGGAAAAGCACATTAAAAGCATGACCTAATTTTCCTTTCTAGTAAGGCTCTGGGATGCTGCACAGTGAAATGTTACAAAATTCAGATCAGTAACAGTTTACAGGTTTTTTGTTTCTCAAGCAGACAGCACCGTGTCTGTATAATAGCAGGAGGAAGGATTATGGGTGGAATCTTAAATCATTATCTGCTGCTTGTATGGCAGGCATGTGGTTTAGGAGTCTGCTTTTAGTTCATCATGTAACATGAGAAAGAGCTCATCTCTAGCACAAATCAGCAGGTCTTCTCCAGTCCATTGCAATACAGTATGTCATGGAATTTGGCTAGCATTGCAGCTTTATAACAAGACAATTTAGCTTTTCTAACAACATAGTCAAATATCTACAACACAAAGTCCAAAGTGGTCTATAATTGGTGTTTACTACCACAACATTACTTGCAAAACAAAGCAACATTTTTAACCGAAGGGAGCCTGTTATGAAGTATTTCCAGCTAGGTGGTACCTCAAACTAGATGTTGCACATCTGTGCAAA